GAAAATTTGGATAATTACCTATGTAATATTCGTATTACAGCAACTGTTACTAATGATTGGGTTAGGATACCTGTAATAGTGGTCATATCAGCATGACTGGTAGGTCATAGGGCATTCATGTAACAGGTCACATGACATTGTCCTTTGTAACAAGGTTGTGATTACACAAAGGAAGGCAAACCGGCAATAGGTAGTGCAAATACTAAATAAGTTCTTGTGGCTATGTAATCTGTTGAAATTGGATAACAAGAAGTTCATTTGGGAAGACCTGAGTAGAGAAGTAGTTAGATCTTCAACAGCTCTACTGTAAAGGCTAGCCTTATGAAACAGATATCAAGGTCGAAGTAGCCAGATGGACAAAAACCTCTAGGTGGAGGGTACCACCAACCAGGCCACCAGATCGAGTCTGAGGAAAAGGATATCGGGTCGATCTGATATATCAATAGACTGGTCATAAGTTCTACCAGACTATCTGAATTGGGAGTTTGGTAAACTAGCAGAGATATACTAAAGTATTTTGGATATGCTGTGAAGTAGATGCTGGGATCTGTGTGAACTCTACAAGAGCATAGCAGTTTAATGGTCAGCCCTGACCACAAGTGTTAGTTCTGCCATAGCGATATCTAGGTTAGCTGTAAAAATGGGTACAGAAGGCTCTGGGAGGTTTACCTTAAGAATAAATTAGTTCTAAGGTTGAGAACGATGATCTGGTACATCTGAGATGACCAGTGATGTTAACACAGGTTACAGATTCAGAAGGTTTAAAGTGGAACACCCAAGCAGAGGTGTTAGGTATGGCAATTGGTGAGGAACCTTCGGGTGGACTTCTTAAATAAGTAATATAGAAAAGTTACATGTGTAAACAATTGTATGCTCTCCTGTAGTGGTTCATTGAACCACATTACCGATAAGTGATTAATAAAAGTCAAAAGACCAAAGAGATCACCTTAATACCAAAAAAAAAAAAATGCAATATAAAAAAAAATAAAATAAATAAAGTAAAATAAGAATAAAATAACAAGTCAAAATAATAATAACAAAAAAAATCTTCTCAAAATGCTAAAAAAACTTTTTTTTATAATTTTTTTAAAAAAACTAACAAACACAACTATGTATAATATATAGTAATCAAAAAAACAATCTTCAAAATCTAAACAACTCAATTTTCAACTAATAACAATAAATACAAATATACTATTACTATTATTTTATTTTCTAAAACAAAAAGTAAACAATCTAACTTAACTCTAACAAATCTCAAAATAACATTATTAGTTATATAACAAACCAAAATAATAACAAATCTTGTAAAAATAATAATAATATACAGCTAGTTATATACAATAATAATAATAATAATATAACAATAATAATGCATTTGTTCAACTAGACACAGACAAAATTAGAATTTAAAATATACAAACAGATCAGAACAATCAGAAAAGTATAAACAAAAAATAAAAAATAATATAAATAAGACAAACAATAATATATAACAATCTCTAGTAATAGCAATATTATGAAAAATATAAATTTAAATATAGTCAAGTAACTAATAAAAACATCACAAAACAGATAAAAATAATGATACAGAAATATAATAGATTAATATATAAACTAAAATAGCAAGTGAAATCACATAATTTTTAAATATAAAAACTTAAAACTATAACAAAATACTTGAAGCTATACAATTAAACCAAATAATCAAAACACTTATTAAATACAAACTACTATATAAACCGACTAGCTTTTATGTACTTAATGCAATTAATACCAAATTTAGATATTTTAATAAAACATTCTTTATAATATTAACAAAAAATAAAACAACACAGTCAATTCATTGGGTAGTTTGAAGAATAAGTACCCCACTGATTATCACATTAAAATCACATGATAAATATTCAATATTGTCACATGGTTATAAAATACGATACAATAGATAATAGATAGGGTTAAAATAGTGTAAAATTTATCACATAGTTTTATTAAAAATTTAATGTTCTTCCATAGGAATACAAATTGTATGTTCTAATTTTTTACCATATAATACAATATGATTTACTAGCATATTAAATGCATTACTATCATCTTGTACAAAACGATGTTGCCACATATACTCTGAAAATAGCTATCATATAAATTTTTAACAGTTCCATACTTTGGAAGTGATGCTTTTGTTGAACGCCAGTTAGATTCAATTGTATTGGTATGAACCCCTGTTTCAGGGTCCTTAAAATGCTTTGAATGATTAACTTTCTCGTGCTTCTATCCATATTTTTCAAAATCTTCTGTTTGATAGGCTGACCAGCAATCACTATATATCGTTGTTCCTTTTTCTATATATTTTTTTAAAATTGTTGTTAGTGTTTCTTTTGTTCGATTAGAAACTGATACCATAAACATTTTATCAGAATCTCTCTCAATTCTACCAAAAACCCACTGCCCTTCAACCTTTTTTCCTTTATTATATTTTCTTTTGCTGAATTTACTTTCGTCAATTTCTACGATTTTTTCTTGTCCTCTGATTTTTATAGTTTCTTGATTTAACAATACTAAACTACATATATCTCGACAAAAATTATACCAATCTACCATTGAATGCGCACTAACATCAGTCTCTAAAACAGCAAACTTTTGTGGTAACTTATGAGACCAGCAAAACATAATCTTTGCTATTTGTGTTAATGACAACTTGGATCGTGCTAACCATGTTCCTGATCTTAGAGTTGTTATACTACCACAGGCAATTTTCAAAGTGCAAACCCATTTTTGTTTATCACCACGTAATTTATCTTTTGACTTTCGCATAGGACTTAGACATTTAGAGCATGTATGTGTATTAGGAAGAATACCAAGTTTTTCAAAAAATTTTATGCTATTCTCCATATCAAGAGTATTAAAATAAATATCTCCATAGGTTTTTACTAATACAGATAATTCTAAAGATATTTGAGATGGGATATTTTCTTTATTATTTTCGATCATTGTTTTCTATACAATATAAATAAAATAATCGCTTCTTTTATAAAATTAATTACATAATATTTTTTATAAAAATATGATGTAATTAATAATAAAAAAAAAATTAATAAAATATGAAGTAATTATTGCAGCTGCTAGGATACCTAAAAAAATTGACTTATTATTCGGCCAAATTTAATAAGTTGTTGATTTCAGTGTGATAGTGTCATTGATCACATTGAAATTGAATTCGGCCGAATAATTATTACTCAATTTTTTTAGGTGTACTAGAATTTATGAGAGCAGCTGTAAAATATCAATTCTCTTAATTTATTTTTTGATAACGTTATGATTATTCATATATTACAGCTATTTTCATAAATTCTGAAACATCTGAAACAATTAACCAATGATTATTCAGCCGAATTCAGAAGATGTCTAAAGCGAAGTAGATTCTTATAATTTATTGAATTAACTTTAAGGTTAGGGTCATATTAGATTATGGTTAGGATTAGGTTTTAGTTGGTTGTATGTAAGCAAAGTTGCCTTCCTGACATTTTATGATAGGTTTAGACTGTGGTTTTTTGTATTTTTAGGCTTTTTGCTTTTCTTTCAAAATTCTATAGTTCGATTAATCAGATATTATGTGATTCTGCTCCCCTGAATTTGATAAGTTGGCATTTCGTTGTGATCAGTTACATTTAATCATACTTCGAATTCGGCCGAATAATCATTGGTAAATTTTTTTGATGCTTCAGAATTTATGTAATTATGTCATTATTAGATCAATGATGAAGTCAATATTTGATTTGCAGATCACCTGTGATGATTTTTATTGGATATGTGATTATATCGAAGGTGATTATCACTGGGGTACTTATTGTTCAAGTGTCCCCAATTCATTATACTACTACCACAGCTGTAAGATCTAATTACCAAGTTCCTTGCACTGCTACTGCAACCTTGAATTCTAATCATTACAAAAACAAAATTTTTGTACTATTACAGCAGTTATGAAGCTTTATAAATACAAAAATAAAAAAACTAAACCAAAACCAGGTTCTTACATTGCTACTATCAAGTATTTAAACTTATTGTGAGTTACTGCACTATGAGCAGAATGAAAGAGATAATAGAGTAACCTTCCTATAAGGCAAACAATAGCAAATAGTAAGATAAGTTTTTTTTTACTAAAAACATTACCCTTAAATACAATGCGTTACATTTTATTCCTTCATTCCACTGATTTGATTTACACTTAAAACCATATGAATATATTTCTTTACTTTAACACTAATTTGGTAACATTCATATCTATTCACCACTTAACAATCATAAACTTAACCAAGAAAAATTAATCTAACGAGAACAATACAGCAAACTACTACAATTCATAAAAGACCAATCTAAGTACGTGATCCATAAAGTCATCTGATCTCACTATTCAATGACAAGCTACTCACTATAAAAAACTTTAATTTTTTTTGTCAAGAACATCTATCTCATCAACGATCATGATAGTAATTGAAAGGTATTAAACATTGATTATTCGTTTTTAATTACTAAAAAAGATTATTTAATATTATGCTCCAGAATAAGGATGGGCTCGGTTACGGTTATAACCATTTAGTCGCGTAACCGATACTAGCAACTTGACTGGATGACGATCAGCGTTTTAAATGTAATTTGGCATGTGAACTATAATCGATTTTTCCTATCATGCGACTAAATTTGTTGATTGGCCAATCAACTAAAGAAATCAACACGAACCAACCCGAATAGACGGAATATCTCAGAATATCCACATGAGTGAAAACCCGTAACCAATCATAATAAATCATAAATGTATTTCCTGATCTTCACTCTCATGTACTCATCCAAATATCGATATCCATTTTACTATTGATATTCGGATAAACCGGATAATTAGTAATAAAAATATCCTGATCCGTTGGGTATTAGCGGAAACTTCGTTTCCGCTTGTACACATACGGTCAGGGTATTTTTGCTAAATACTCAGTGATCTTGATATAGTGATCGGGGTATTTTCCGGATAATCCCCCGATCACTATATCAATATCACAGGAGCATTAATTAATAATAACCTGAATAAGCGAAAACTTCATTTCCACTAATTCTCAACGATCAGGATATTATTATTACTATTTATTTGATATGTATAAACGGATAATGGTTAGGAACTTTATCTCAGAATTTAACTAGTTGATGATTTAATCGATTAGTTGTTTCAAAATTTTCCAAATCGTTAGTTGAAAACTTGTCAACTAGTTGGTTTTTCAACTAACAATTTGGATCACTAATGTGAATACGCCGTGTCAGTCTTATCTTAACTCCTACTAGATTTGGATAAATTACAACCATTACTTATGCTAAAAAAAAAGGATTTTTCAAAAAATCAGCACACTATAGCGAACATCAATGAACCATCCCTCCACATTTCATGTTACACATTCATGTGATCGTACTGGTACATCGTAGTATTTTTATGGTTAATCCGGATATCACTATAATTGGCTATTCATTATGTGTACGAATAACCACTTTTAGACCTGAGGATTTAACAAATCGTTGTACATTAAACGTTATAAAAATCAAATGTCTAGTACTAAAAAGAAATAAAAAGTTTATTCTCTATTTGACATCTTTCTTGTAAACTTGAAAGATGCCTCAAGTATTGGAATCCAATGATATAGAAAAGAATGATTTAAAACTCAATAAAGAAAATTCTATAAATCAAGCAGAAACAAATGATCTAACGCTTGTTAATGAAGAATCTGAACATGAAGACATATCTAATAGAAATGAGGTTGTAGATAATGATCAAATACATACAGAATTGTCCAAAATTCAATTTAGCGTGGTCTTCCTCGGGTATTTGTTTAAATAAACTTTAAGCGGTACGGCCTTTCATATTTTGACAAACATTTAATTATTCATTTTGCATAAAGTCTATGCTGTGCCATGTTCATGGCTGCTTTAGATCAAACTATTGTCACGACTGCTTTGCCAAAGATAGTGATAGATCTCGCATCTGTTGATAAAATTGTGTGGGTTGGAACTGCTTACTTGCTCACTGCGGTAATCTATCAATTTCTTTCTTTTTTTTGCAATGCTAGCATTATTATAATAATTTGAATGCTAATTTCTTTACATAAACTTATAATATCAGACTTCCTTCCAACCAGCTTATGGGAAACTTGCTGATATTTTTGGTCGAAAAATCACTTTTTTAGCAGCAATGCTTATTTTTGAATTGGGCAGCATTTTATGTGGAGTATCTTTCAGTATGAATATGCTAATAATTTCTCGATCAGTGGCTGGCCTTGGTAAATTAAATTAATAGTCTTTAGTTTTAATTAAATTTTATGTTATTCAAACGATGGTCTTTTAATTTCTTTAATAGGTGGTGGTGGTATTTTTGGGTATGCGTAATTTGCTAGAATTTTGTATTTATTAAATATATCTTGCCCCTAAAAAAAACTTGTTTCTTTATTCATTCAGAACTGCATTAATTATACTTACTGACATTGTTTCAGTTAAAGACCGTGGTAAATATCAAGGAATTATTGGTGCTGTATTCATTATTGCATCTATCATAAGCCCAATAATTGGTGGATTATTCACTGATAATGATAATTTGGGTTGGAGGTATATGACCCTTTTTTATACCTTGAAATTCTATGTTCTTAATATTTAATCATAACTTTAAACTTTTTTGTAGATGGGCATTTTATATCAATGTACCAATAGGTGTAATATCAATATTTTGTATTCTATTCTTTTTTAAATCTTCAAGAACAATTGATTCTTTCTACGAAAAGCTTAAACGCATTGATTGGTTGGGTTCACTACTGATTACATGTTCAATGATGGCATTTCTATTACCTCTTAGTTGGGGTGGAGTTACATATGCTTGGAATTCTCCTATTATTATTTCTTTATTGGTTGTTGGTGTGATACTATTAGCTTTATTTATCTACGTGGAAGGCTTTGTTGTAACTGAACCTCTCGCTCCCGGTAAAAAAAATTTAAATGTACTTCTGATAAAGTTCTTATTAAAAAAAGCATATTTTAATACTGTTCTTTTATAGGTCATTTATTTAAGGATCGTAGTATAGTTGCTTGTTTTGCTGTTAATTATTGCCTTGGTATGATATTCTTTTCGGTGATATATTTTCTACCTATATACTTTGAAATTGTTAACGAAGATTCAGGTATTTTATAAATAATATATATATCATTTCCCACAAAACTTCTTGAAATTTTATAAATTTCTTTTCATATAGCTACTATGTCTGGTGTAAAACTTCTTCCTTACATTGTGGGTGCTGTCATCACAGTTTTATTATCTGGATTCATAATTTCTCATACAAAGATAATTTCGTATAAAGTAATTTGTATAATTGGTGGTATATTAATCACTATTGGTACTGGATTGATAACTTTATTTGATGTAGATTCAACTCTTGATCAAGTAATTGGTTATTTATTAATTAGCGGATTGGGTGTTGGTGCAGTCGTACAGACTGTATTTTTAGCGGGTCAAGCATCCGTAAAATATGAAGATGTCGCGGCTGTTACGTCTTTGATAACGTTTTTCAGAACTAGTAAGTCCCGTTATTAACTTTAGTTTTATTTTTATTATTATTTTTTTCTAATTTGTTATTTTATTACACAGTTGGTGCTGTATTCGGGTTAGGAATTGTAGCTGCTGTATTTGCAACCGGTTTTGCAGATAAAATACAACTTGCTGTTGCTGTTCCAGATTTACTTAAGAATTATCATCTTCTTCCGGAGATTTTTAAATTGCCGACGAAGCGCCAGCTTGTATCGTCTTTAAGTGTTTCATTTAGGACAGGAATTGCATTTGGATTGTTGCTAGTGGTATCGGCTGTGTTTATCAGGGATGAAAATAATTCAAAACCGAAAGAGGCCATAAATAAGTTATCGTCATCTATAACAGCTGTTTTTGTCAGAGATAAGAAAAAAGCAAAGACAGAAGAGCATTTAGTTGTATAATAGAATTGTGAATGCTTTTAATTAAGATTAAGAAAGTTTTTTTGTTTCTTTTAGTCAATCTAACTTATAATATTATTCCATCAGAATTTAACAAATTATTAATAGTAATAAAGTTAAAGTTTTCTACTACTCAAATGCCTACCATTTGTTGTGTCCAAGGTAATTTCAGGTCTCTAAAATTTGACTGGATATTTTCCTACTTTCTTTTAATTTTCACAATTATTAAAGCAATTTTACGCGATAGTACATGTGTTTCACGTAACTGAAAACTGGCAACCTGTCACTTAACTCTTTATGTAACTTTGTATATGGCTTTACTTATGTATGATATAGCGATAGCCAAATTTTGCAATTTATTATGTGATTAAATTCTGATTTAGTATTTGGCTTAACTCACCATGTGGCTAAATTCTGTAAATAGTATAAATAGTATATGGCTTAGCTTGCCATGTGGCTAAAATTTTGCACAAATACGTTATGTGCTAAATTTTGTATAACGATAGGGTTTTATGTTGCTAAATTTTTCCATAGCTTAACTCATCATGTACTGTACCATATCACATTATGTGCTTACCGCGTGGCTTAACTTATCATATCAATTAGCTCGCCGTGTGGCTCAACTCATCATGTGGCTTAACTCATCGGCACTGATTTCAATTACGACTCTAAACTACGAAAAAAATTGATTTTGCTTTAGCTGCCTTTAGTATTCTAATAAAAAGTGGTCATAAAATTATACAGTGCATTGATTTTATATTAATGCCTGAATTTAAAATTTAAAACTTATAAATTCAAATTGTCTTTTGAGATTAATTAATTATATTAAAAAAATTAAACCATCTAATTTTTAAAAGAATCAAATAACGAATACCGCATAAATGCTATAATGAATAGATAGATATTCCTCAAACATATTATATTACTTCAAGAAAAGTCAACAATATATCGTTTCCATAATCAGGCCAATTGTTCAACACATTCTTACTTATCTCAAGGTCTGAATTCTCCTTTTCTTCATGTCATTTTTCAATTCGCAGCACTTTTGATTAAACAATTGTGACTATCATAAAGAAATTATTCTGTGATTTCATTTTCGTTACATTATACCGAACTTTGAATTTATCCAACACGGTTTGTAACAACTAAAAATGAATATTGACCTCTTTCACTTTTTTGGTTCCATTCTATAGATTCTCTAAAATTTGTATAATCTACGGGCATTTGAAGGATCTTTGTACTAAATACTCGAATTTTTTATAAGATTTATTAAAAAAATTGGTTCTCTTTTAAGTCTTATTAGAAGTCATTAAGATTATTTAACCTCTTAATAGCACACTTTGTAAAAAAAAAAAAAATAAAAATAAAAATATAAAACAGCAAAAAAAAACAATCAAATCATTCTTTATATTGATAGCGGCAGAACCTGCACCCTCAGGTCTACAAGAAATACCCGAATTAGATGAAAAGCGATGCCCCGAATTGACGCTGCATGAGATTGTTGCTGCAATCGCTAAGCCCAGAACAATTACCGTTGACAGGCCCAAAATGGTAAGGTGATCTGCATTAACCCGACTGACAAAGATAAAGGCTAAAATAAGCCAATGGGTTAATATTGCCAAGCTTGTGGCTGTGTTCAAGCTCAATCATGTGTTCGCATAATTTTTTGTCAAATGTTGTTAGGAAACAAGAGGCTATGAAAGTAAAAGAATTAGGTAAAAGAGAAAAAAGGGTTTGGAATAATGAAAATAATATGTTGGCATAATATTGTTAACATTTCAAAAATATTCTTTTTGCTTCCCTGTAAAATTTTTATAAAAAAAATGTGTATCAATCTTACTTTACAAACAAATTAATAAATAATAAATTCTCTAAAATCATCTCACAAAATTAATAGACTAATCATCAACTAAAACATTCTTAAAGTTATTTATTTTCTTGTAATACTCTTTAATTATTATCTTGATCTTATATCAAATCAAAAATCTGTCTCTACCATCTTTTGAGGAATATTACATAGCATAATCATTTCTCAAGTAATAATTCATTCTATTTGCTTTATCTTTGAGCTTATCATTATAGTTGATAACAACATATTCAATTTTAATTATATAATGATATTAGACAATTTCAATTATATTTTATATTAAATACAATCAGTCTAATTGTGAGATATTTCATGTCAAATAATCAGTAGTAGAATATAATTAATGTACTAAATAAGATTTTTGTTATAATGTCAATTTGTAAATTTGGTTATTAATTTTTATGCTATTATTATAATTTTTATATTACTACTTGTGTTACTCTATTACTTTATACTATAGTTACCTAATATGATATTATATCTACATTTTCTATTCTATTATTAAAACTATAGTATTTCTACTATCATTACTAAGGGGTGTGATGACCTAATGAAATGGTCAGGTTGTCAACTCCCAAGTGGCAGGTTCAGAGTTCAAATCCCAGTGTCAACAAAAAATTTGAAAAATCTCACTGTGTTATAGTTAACTATTTCTCACAATTGGTGGGAATAAGATATCTGTTATCTGTGTCACACAACATAACTGACAGGTCACATGAGATTTGTATAACAGTTACATGACATTTGTATAACAGTTACATGACATTGTTCTTTGAGACAAGGTCTGTGATTACATGAAGAAATGCAAACTGGTATCAGGTAGTACAAACCTATAATAAGTTCTCATGTTCATATAAATCATAAGAACCAAAAAAAAAAGATAGAAGCCTACTTGGAAGATCTGAATAGAGAGGTAACCTGAACTTATAACAGTGTTACTATAAAGACTAGACTTATAAAATAGAGTTAGAACTTGTGAAACTAGTCAAATGTATCAGTCTTTAAGAAGAAACCAGATGAACCAATCAGGCTACCAAAATTTCTGAATTTTGAAGAAAAAGAGTACATGCCAACAAACATTAAACCAGAGATGTATAATTATAACCTACTTTTCTAGACTATTTAGAATAACAACTTGGTGAAACTTATTGAATACCAAAACAATAAGAATATATTTGAAATTAATACCAAAGTTGGGATAAACTCTACAAGAGCATAGTGGTTTAATGGTATGTCCTAACTCCAGTTTTGGTCTTAGTCATAATGATACCAGGTCAGCTATAAGAATGAAATACAGAAGATTTTAAAAGATTTAGTACAAGGTCAAAGATTCTAAAAAACTGTAGTAATCATAATATATTTTCATTAGCATTAGCCAAAATCATTAGTAAGCAGAAGTAGATAGATAATATAAAAACTAGAATAGTTAAATAGAGAATCTACAAACAGGTTCCAGATATGATAGCTAGTATAGAATCTTCAGGCAAACTACTTAAATTAGACAATAACTAAAGTTATACATGTATCTAATTGTACACTCTTTCTATGATTGCTCTTTGTAGTTGTAATGCAACCATTAGTCAAATATACTATTAATAAAATTTTGGGTTGCAAGTACTTACCTTAATATTTTTTAAAAAAAACTATTATTACTAACTAAGATAAGGTTATAACTATCTTAATAAAATTTTTAAGATTTTATTAATTAATTTATTAAAATATTTAATATAATAATTTAAAAAATGCCTTACCATTAATATTAAAAAAAAAATAATAATTTAAAAAATTCTATATTAAACTAGGTTAAAATAACCTCTTTTAAAATTTAAAATTAGTATAGATTAAAACTATGTTAATATTAATTAGAGTTTTTAATATAATAATCTGTTTGAAATTAATAACTTGTATTAAGAGTAGGGTGTAACATTTTAAATTTATATATGAACTTGATGGTATATTTTTTTTGTAATCTTAATTACAGAATTTTTATTAATTAAATATTTTTTGAGCTTGCAAGTAAAGTTGTAAAGTAGGTTCTTGTGATTCTAACAATAGTAAAATCATTAAAATTGGTTTATAACTCATAGAAATATGAATTTTTAAAGATTAGATATAAAAATTTATTATTAAAACTTTCTTATAGATTTTTAAAAATTAGCCAATTAAAGTTGACTCTTTTGTATAACCAGGGAAAAACATAAAGCATCCAGAGAAAATTCAAAATATATACAAATATAATTTTTTTTAAATTAAACATCTTATAAAATTTTAAAATAATAAATAACTTATTTAAATCTATATATTATTGAATTTTGA